TGTAATTTTTTTTATTGTTCAAATTTTTTGTGTATTGTTTTTTTTGCCCATAGCAGGCTACGTAATTTTTGTAACTCGTATAACTTTTTCTCCGGTAAGGGGGTACTGTGGGGTACATTTCATCGTCTGGGCTTTGTGTTGGTACGCTCGGTCCGGCAAGGATGTTTAGTCTACATTTATTTAGTCTGAACGAAACAGAGTAACCCCTTGTAGTCTGGGTACGAATTGCTCAACTCAAGGCTCTTTTGACATATTTATTGGTATACCTATTCAGTGGTAATAATTGCCGGGACCGTCTGGACGACGTCTCGCCCTATTCACAATAGCTAACGTATAAACACAAAGACCAGATGGTGAAAATTTCCGATATAAAAGGGGCACCTCGAGAGGTGTTCGTCAGTCAGTTCTTCGAGTTCATTTGATGCAGAAGCTAGTACTTATTAATAAACGCATTACCACAACTTCTTAATAAACTTACATCGTGATATTCAAACCAAGTGTCTTTGCATCAATTATAACCCACACTCACCGATCCCACAGTTGTATTTGTTGCGTGTTTTAAGCATGTTTGGTTTTACTGGATTGGGAATTCCCCACGTTTCCGTTGTTGGACTGCGATGAGTGCGTTCCGTTTTAACTCGATGCTGTTTGCAAATGCTTATAAGGCTTGGTTTTGCGGTTTTACCGCGTGCCGCGCGCGCGTTGTGTTTTACTCTTTTTACCTGGCAGCCAGGTTGAGGTTACTCTCACTCTCGCTGGAGCTCAGCACGTTCGTAATCTCAAGGAATTATTACATAAATAATCGCGTTGCAGCAATTGGGAACTTTGGAGTTCCGAGAAGGAACTGAAATGACCTCGTTTTTATTAATTTTTAAGTTTTTAAATAATACGAAAGTATTAATTCACGTAATTTAAATATATGTCACTAAAAACACGTAATTGGAATTTCTATAACCTTTTAATATATAAGTCACTAATTCATTACTTAGAAATATTTATTGCTCTATTGTGATATTACTCAAATAATTGGAGTTTTGATGTTTGATTCGCACGCTTATCTCGCTTATCAAATTTCAAGTGGCAAATATTTGCACGTTACACCTACTAAACTAAATATTGCCAGTTTACACACACCGTTTAATATTTTCCATAAACCGCAAATATGCGTGGCACTTGACGTGTGGATGGTGGAGTTTCGATTGTGAACTTCCTTTGTTGCTATTTTTAGCGCAATTACTCACTTGTTACAATTTCCCCGGCTGTATTTTTAGCTCAATAATGCTTAGATTTAGAATGTTTATGGTACTCACTCATTACGTCTCTAGTCTCAAAATTAAATCAATATTTTTTAACGTTTGCGTTAATAAAATCACAAAGGCGACTATATGAATATGTATAGTTTATTTTAAAATATTTTTACAAGGTGACTGGCGACGATATATTTGAAACTGCAGGGAAATAAAAGTGACTCTCGGAAATCGGTGATTTTCATACAAATCACCTGTGACTATAACTCGAGCAGGCTGCCAATTTTATCTTGTGTTAATGTTTAGATGTAAACTGCGTGAATGTGTACTCTACACGACTAGTGTATTTTATTTTTAACTACGGGATTTAATGCGCAGCGCGGTGTCGCGTTTCCATCGCGCTTTTCGTGGAAACGCGGGAAACGCGCGAAACGGACAATTAACGCGTTGATCTGCGTGCGTACCAGTGCCAAGCGTTTACGAGTATATCAGTCGGTTCTTGAAATTTTAAACGCGCGCGTGATTGCGCTGTTTTTGAAACTTCACAGTAATGATAAATAAAGAGCAAACAAACGGGTGCTAAGCATTGGAGCAATTTATGGGTTACACACCTCTTAATTTTTAGCAGAACCAGACCTAATTGAAGGATATAAATTTTATTCTTCGCCTAATTTTTCTTTCCAAAGATTTATGACGTACAAAGCACAAAAAATGTGCTTTATAGCTTAATTTGACAAAGATTACTTTAATTAATTAATTTATATGCTGTTATTTTATCAAATTCATACATTATCTGATATCATTCTTGTGTGATTGCACCTAACTGGTGCGTGCGACACACAGTATGACGCGTGCTCGAGTGCAAACACTTAACATACAAATATAACAGTACATACGGGTACTCAACGCGCATAATTAAAACGCTCGATATGAACATTTTGAATATTATGACCTGCCAACTTCTACAAGTACGTAAATTGTATTATGGAAATGAATGAGCATATAAACTCAATTAAATACGCACAAAGAGGTATGGTAAACTTACCTTTGCGTTCATATAATCCTATAAAGCTCGAAAAGTTTCATGTCTAGGTAGTTATAATGCAAAGTGAGTGGGATTTTTGCTTCTACGTCAATGGTACCACACGCAAGACCCACACCCACTAAACAAACGCATAACTATGAATTTTCTTAATTGCTTACATATATTATTATTTTAAAAATTTCCCCAAAGTGAAAAAGTCCATCCACATGAAATTTGATGGTTTTCAACGTGGGAATTTGTACGTTTATAAATAGCACGCGCAATTTATTTATGACTTTGATTGTTATTAACCTGCGTTACTGCGCATTGTTTTATTCGCGGCTGGGAGTTAAAAATAGCCAACACTTGAAATATTTTCAGGATGTGTATTGTGTGCGTGTTAAATGTTGCTGCTTAACCTATCGCAATAAATTTTTGTGATTCACAAGACGCATGTAACACGTAATATCAATGACGTCCATAGTTTTATTTGCTTTAGCAATTCACTTCAAAGACGTTCGCAGGATGAAAGTTTAGAGGTTTAGTCACATTAATATTTTAAAACTTTTTTATTGTTGAGTTTAACTTTGCAATGAATTTACGTATTGTCGTTCATGTCCTGCGCACTAATTTAAAGTGGGTTAATATCTAGTGTCAATATTTACGTCTGAAAATTGTCTGATTGTGCGTTATTTTTCGGTGGCGCATTTATTTTTTCAGCGCGCACAAAATCATAATAAAACAAACGTGTTTATCGCGAAAAGTTGCACGCCGACCTGTTAACCTGCTAAGCGTTTGTGTCGTTTAAACTTCGCATCAAGACATGGCGTATTGATGTTGATGGTTTTTAAGTGAATTTATTAAACAGCGCATAGTAATTTCTACGGCGCAACGCAATCAATTAGCTTTTGTTATTCTCTGATTTGTTAACATTAACTCATTAATTGGCTTCCATTTGAAACAAATGCCAATCAACAGCGGCAAATTACTGAATATCTTATCGCGTAAATAGTAAATATTTGAAACATATTCATCACTTTTATTTCTTTGTTGATATTGAGTTTTTAAATTTTCGTTATAAAATTGAAACTAGCAATCTGGGGAATAATGTCAAGGTTTCATTAGGTTTGATTGCGTAAAACTTTCTAACGTACACGATAAATGAAAGTAGATTTCATTCAACAAAATATTCGGCGATAATTTAACCATGCGTATTTGAAATGATTAATTACTCGCTAGTATTGTACCATCGTTGATTTATGGTATGCAACCCATTATACTAACTATGAAGCATTGAACAATTAAATAAATATACTTTTGAACAACTTGTCGTGTTTAACAAGTGCAATGCAACGAGTAACACTGCTCTACATTATAAATATGTGTTGTTTTCATTGTAGCCTCGCCTGCAATGATCTTATGATTTAGTTTTGTGATTTTCATATGCCGAAGCCATTAAAATTGCATTTTGTGTTTCGAGGCACGGAGTTCTGTTTGTTTCAGGGCTCTATAAATTAAACGGGACTTTACAGGAGAGTCATTCTTGCTTCAAATTGTAAGTATTGCAAATATTTATTATATCCATGATTTAGTTTTGTAATTCTAACAGGGGATGAGTGTGTCGCAATAATTTAATATATCGTATGTTATCTCGAGAACCGTTTATGTCATTTTAAGGTTCTTCATATTTTTAAATAGCGCGAGAGTTTATCCCGCAGATGCGTCATTGTTGCCCCTTAAAATCAGGCGCAAAATGTGTGACAACCACCTTTAAAGAATGGGAGTTACTTCTACCGCTACCCTCGTATGATGCCCTGAATAAAGTGACTTCTACCGCTACCTTCGTACGGTGCCTTGAACAGGAGTCACTTCTACCGCTACTCTCATACGGTGCCCTGAATAAAGTCACTTTTACCGCTACCCTCGTACGGTGCTCTAAATGGGTATTGCTACCTTCGTATGTCGTTTATACGAATAAGAGAGAACGTCCACAATCTTTTCATTGCATTGGACTGCATCCACAACATGAATTGTTCATAGTTCTCACTTTTGACTCTTATCGGTGTTTGTGTACAAACAACTTGTTTTTTTAAATGAGTTGCTGCTCGTCCGGTGCGCTCAGTAGTATTTGTTCTATTTCTTACTTAGTCGTTCGTGTGCTGCGGCGTGGTGTGAACGCGTCTATTTGAGCGGCGATTTTCGTAATGACTTATCGAATTTCTTGTGATTTAAGTCGGTAGTTGAATTAGAATCGGTCAGCAAAGAAAACATTTAGAATTACCAGAGAAGTGCGGCGTATAATTATTGAGATATCGTGCGTCCGGAATTGCAAAATACGTAGGTATTTCCCGTCGGCCGGCGAATATCTGCCGTCGGCTAAGAATTCCTAGTGGTTTTGTTTTGTGTATTCATTAAATGATTAATTTGAATAAGATTTTTGATCCTTTACACCCTGAATTTTAATTATTTTCTTGTGTTAGCTTATAAAGAATTTTCCAAATTTTCATTATGTTTAATTCTTTGGCTAGAAGCTTTTAGTTTAGATGATATTCGTTACCGAAATTACTCAAAGAGCATGATGCAGCAATATTTTTTGTTATTAATTTTTCTCATCTTATTTTACAAATTTTATTATCTTATCATATAAATTCTATTTTTTGAGGTTTAACGTTTTAACGAGACCTTACGGATATCTCAGCTGTGAACTGCATGCTTCTTCTAGAAAGCTTCTTCAACGATTTCAAGATTCTATTAAATTTTGACAGGCCAAGAGGTATTTATTTATTTCTATTTTGCAAGGTGTAGTGTTACAATTATAACACTGTAACACATAAATGGAAACAAGTATAAGTTTACTGACATATTAACGTGTATTATAAAGTGTAAAGTACGCTTTACAAACAACATGAGTGTTAACTAAGCCTCGGTAGGTTGACACAATCGACAAAATTATACATAAAGTATAATATATAAAACATAAATACATAAAGTTTTACATTCGTTTTTATTAAATTAACTTATAACTATAATTATTTATTTCAATTTTTTACGTAGTGTTATAAATGCTTGGTGGTATTTTACTGTCCTACATACATATAAAGTGTGAGTAACCTTTACAAAAACGTTTCTGTTGAATGAGCCTTAGAAGAGGTAAATAAGAAATACAACTTAAACTATCCGGAAAACACCCCCAAACTTCAGCAATACTTCGCTTTTATATTACTTCTTGCTCGTTGTTATGCTAATAAAGTTTTGTTTTCACCTCAGGTGAATATGGTAGCGGGTCATCAATCTGCACGGGCCTACCGCGTCTATAATCCTGAAGCTTTGATTGAGAATCAGTAACAGTCCATGACGAGAAGCGTCTTTTGGTTTCTTCAGAACGCGCTAGGATTTTCGGACTTGTTTCTTACTGTAAGTGATGGAATTTTATGTTTTCCTAATCTTAAAGCTCAAAAAACTAGAAATTTATGAATTGCATTTTAACACTCGGATTTTTAGATTTACCTTTTTACTGGGGAATTCCATGGATTTGGACGTAGCATCAACATCTTACATTTTGCGATACATAGAGCCTAGAAGACCGAGCGAAGAAGAAGAATGAACACCGTCAAACGTGGCCATATTTTTTTCTGCCTTTAATATAATTGGACCAAAAAACAGCGCAAAACTTGTGTTTCAAATTGAATTTGGCTAAAAAAAGACATCGCAGAACTATTGTTATAAACTTATTACGCAACACAAGACTTGTTATTGAGCTACAGTTAAACAGCGCTAAGTATGTTAAATGTTATTTGTCACATATGCAATTACGTTCTTAATACTATGTGAAGATTGTTAAGTTCAATGTTGGAAGGACTTATTTTTACTTGTTTTAGGGATTTTGCACCTTAGTCTGACACCCTAGAAGGACCATTCTTGCATCAGATTGTAAGTATTTAATTTCATTATCATTTTCCTAAATTAATTTTGTGATTATCCCACCAATTGACCCCCAAAATTGCATTTTTATGTTGGAAGGACTAATTTTTGCTTGTTTTAGGGATATTGCAGCTGAGTCTGACATCGTAGAATGACCATTCTTGCATCAGATTGTAAGTATTTAATTTCTTTATCAATTTCATAACTAATTTTTGTGATTAGCTCATGAATTAGTGACGAAAATTGCATTTTTGTGTTGCAAAGGACAACTTTTCGCTTGTTTTAGGTGTTCTGCACCCGAAGTCGACATCGTAGCAGAACCATTTTTGCATCATATTGTAAGTATTTAATTTCGTTATCGTTTTCATAAGTAATTTTTGTGATTAGCTCATGCATTAGTGACGAAAATTACATTTCTGTGTTGCAATTGACTACTTTTTGCTTGTTTTAGGTGCTCTTCACCCGAGCCCAATATCGTAGGAGAACCATTCTTGCATCAGATTGTAAGTATTTAATTTCTTTATTATTTTCATACATAACTTTTATGAATAATTTATGAATTAGCGAGAAAAATTTACTTTTTGTGTTTCGAAGTACTGATTTTGCTTGTTTTCGTGGTTTAGCACATGAACGAGGCATCCTCGTAATATCAGCGAGGTCCCTAAGGACGTAAAATTTAATTCTTCATGGCGTTTTATTCTAATGTCGTAAGAGATGTACCTGTAGAACGTGTATTGTTTGATAAATTGTACGTTTCGTACGATGTTATATCAATAACTTGTAACTGTTTGTTTTCATTTAGTCATTTTGAATAGTTTTTGAATTATATATAACATGGATTGTGTTTTATTAATTATCGTTCAAGCGAGTGAGATAGAAATACCAGGATAAGGTGATAGCAGGTGAGTTAGAATAAGCGAGCAATACTATCATGTTCAATCCATGTTCTTTATAATTTGCAGAATTTGCTACACTTTGTTTATGCTTTCACTTCGACCTTGGGTTGCGCAACTCGCTGTGCGCTGCCATTTGAAATTTGAACAGTACCGCACCGGTCGCCGTGTGTCGTCGGCTTCAGGTGAGAATTCGCTATACTTATACTGCTCAGTACATCTTGCGCTGGCGTATTGGCTGTTGTTTTTCCCTGTTTAGTCAGTCGGTGCTACGCAATTGTGCTGTGTGAACGTGTTCTGTTTCGCCGCTGGTCTTCATCACGACTGTTAGTATTTCGGGAGACTTTAATAGGGTGCGAGCATTAGAATCGTTTAGTCATCGCTTGCTATCAACTACTGAACAAGTGATTTATCTCAAATCGACTCGAGACTTAAGACACCACTTGCGCGTGTTTAAGCCATCAGCCGCCGGCCGTCGGATCTCTTTCGTTGGGCTACGGATTCTAATTGGATTTATAGGCCAAAATGGTATTGTTAATTAGAGGGGATAAATCACGCGTTTTCTCCGCGTGGCATAGTTGTTAGTGCAAACGTTATGCAGTGAGTAGTAACATCAATTCTACTAACAGTTCTACTTTGTGTGTAACGTTTGATAAGAGAGCGTTGTGGGTTGATGGTACATAGGATATGACTTAAATCGTACGTACGTTCGTTTTATTTAAAAAATGAAGAATGTATTGTTAAATACAATTAATAAAACTCAATTTAAAATTAAAATCTTATTCATACTTCTTTGTGATCCTCTTTGTCGTTTTCAGGATATGCGTCTTAAATCATATTTCATATGAAGTTTATGTGAGTGCAAGATAGCTGAGGCTTGTGTTGTTGTTTTTAAAAAGTTGAATAAAGTAGAAACATAAATAGAAGAATCAAATATTAATGATAAAAACACTCGGTGGTCGAGTGGAGACGTGCACCTGCTGGCATGCTAGCAGACACGGATCGAATCTCAGGTATAGAAGGCATTTTTCTCAAATATAAAAATATCAGGTGTAATTTGGGTTGCATATATGAATTGCAACGAAATATGAGAGAAATTGAAATACAAGTGAAGGCAATATGAGAAGTAAGAAAGTAAGTGGAGGAGCAGAGAACAGAAAAATAGGAGAAGTAGAAGAAGGAATAGCAGAGAAGAGCAGAAGATAGAAGGAAGAGAATAGAGTAGAGAAGAGGAGGAGATAGAAGAAAGAGAACAGGGGAGGATCAGATTTTTAAATTTTTTGGCACGTGTCGTTATAAGACAGTCTACGGTCGATCGCCCACTGCTTCGATTCGTCCATTGCTCCCGGCCCATCCTACAGCTACGATGTCTCTGCGCTTCATCCCCGAAATTATCAGGCATATCAACAATTTTTATGGTGGGGGATCACCCCAGAGAGAGGGAACTCCTTATAAGGACAATCCTTATGAGGTCTTGTTTAAATATTTCAAAGTTTTAAGTCGCCTCAGGAGAGGTGACACTTAAAAATATTCTTACAAGTTCTGACCTGTTGCTGAAATGAAAGAAGGAGTACACAAATCATACAGGTTACCTTAACAATTTTATAGAGGGATCATCCCTGAGAGAGGGAACTCTCTTAGAGACCTGTTCCTGAAATGATAGAAGGCGAACACACAAATCAAAGAAGTCAATATATCTTACTATTTCTTTATTAAGAATAGAATACAAGTTTAGATTTTACAAGTCAACAAAATACAGGTCGCCATATTGAAACAAGACTTACGACCTGCATAGCCGCGCACATGCCAGCAAATACAACTTCATAAAGTTCAACCGGAATAATGAAATTAGTAGGTAAATAGCCAATTTTCTAGGTGATTGAAAATGGAAACAAATATACAGGGTGTTACAAAACGTAAATTTAAAGAACAAACAAAAAACTCTAAACACTACAAACGTGGCTCGTTTTCACTCGACGATCAGGGAAACTAATATACAGGGTGTCCCAGAAAGAAAATTTAAAGTGCAAACGGGAAAATATTAAAAACAACAGCTGAAGCAAAATTTTCGCGGACACAAAGGAAAACCTATATACAGGGTGTTCTAGAAAGAAAATTACATGTTCAAAACAGAGAACACTCAAAACTCACAACTAAAGGTGATTTTCTACGTAATATTCACAATATGAAGAGCGAACTTGACAAATTAACAACAATACTTTAATATAAAATCAGAGATTTTACTCGAAAAACATCGGAAAATTGAGCAAAAGGGTGCTACAAAAATAAAACACTTACATTTTAATAGTTTAAAAATATTTCTTTATTAAATTTCTACGTGATTTTTATTGGATTTTACAATTTTATATGATCATAGAATCGTAGAAATTTAATAAATAAATATTTTAAACTACACAATGGATTACGTATTCATAAATGAAAGTAATACATTTTAATATATTGTGAATATATATTTGTTAATTGATGGTAACACCAACTGTATAAGGTAGCCGACGGGTGAAGCATCATTACAAATTGATAGAATATCCGGCGGAAAACATCTAAATCAACAGACGGCAAGCGACGGCGCGTAGCAACACAGTGGTAGACGATAAAAATAACAAATTTCTTTGTAAATATTAAGATATACTGAGACTGCGAATACGAAAATCTATTAACCGTTCAAGATTTTATTTCAACAAGAAATTATTAATTTAATGATGCAATTCGATAAAAATGTTTACGTGATCATCGAAAACATGACCGAACCGACGGTCGACGGCAAAGTAAGCGTAGTCGACCACATGAATTTTAAAACCGTGCTTGTAATAATTAAATCGTTAAGTTAAACCGCCTTAACTTTCCACGAAAAATTTTAATTATCCACCCACCTGTGCATTGATGAGGAGATTTTCTATCCTGTAAACTGAAAACTCGCGCAGGGATTAACGGACACTTATTTCTTACTTAAGAAGACTCTAACCGAAAAAAATCATTAAACAAAACAGGCACGCATGCCCATTGCGAATATTTTGCGGATGGCCGAAAGAATACACGACGATTAATCCAATTAAAACCTAAAAACGCGTGACGTTTAGAGAGACATGCTCGCGGACCATGCGGTGAAACAACTGCCGTGAGCGTTGCGCGTAGCCGGGTACAAGGCAGGTATGCAGCGATATCACGAGTCCGTCGAACAAAAAAGTTGTTTATACACAAACGTACTGATAGACACGTAGTTGAGAAGACGAAACTAAAAATTCACAATGTTGAAATACACATACACGAAATTTACTTTTACTTTCAATATTTCTCGGCATACACAAAGAATTTATTGTATACCTTAGTTAATAAAATAATTGGTGTTTTTGTAAAGGTTACTCTAACTTTATATGTATGTAGGATAGTAAAATACCACTTATTTCCATTTCAGTGCAACAGTGATACAGTTATACACTACACATCGTAAAATTGAAATAAATAATTATATAAGTTATTACATTAAATATAAGAACAAATGTGAAACTTTATATATTTATGTTTTATGTATTATATTTTATGTACCTATAATTGTGTACGAGGGTAGCGGTAGAAGTGACTCCCATTTAAGGCACCGTACGAGAGTAGCGGTAAAAGTGACTTTATTCAGGGCACCGTACGAGGGTAGCGGTAGAAGTGACTTTATTCAGAGAAACTGAATAACGATTTTAGAGCACTTCTAGAGGATTTTGGCGGACTGCAAGAATCTAAGACAATGATTCTCGAACTATCTAAATTTGAAAGATTCATTGAAATCGCACAAACGGTTCGCGAGATACAGCCGAATTTCCACCGTGTGTTTAAAACAATCACAAAATGGTATAAGTTTCAGAGCGATTTTATGGCACTTCTAGCGTGATTTCGGCGGACTGCAAAGTCGCATTTTAGAAAATGACTCTCAAACTATCGAAATTTGAAAGATTCATTGAAATCGTACAAACGGTTCGCGAAATACAGCCGAATTTCCACCGTATATTTCAAAAATCACTCAAATTGTATATGTTTCAAAGCGATTTTAAAGCACTTGTAGCGTGATTTCGGCGGACTGCAAGATCGCATCTTAGAAAATGACTCTCAAACTCTCTAAATTTGAAAAATTCAATGAAATCGCACAAACGGTTCGCGAGATACAGCCGAATTTCCACCGTGTGTTTCAAAAATCACTCAAATCATATATGTTTCAGAGCGATTTTAAGGCACTTCTAGCGTGATTTGGAAGGACTGCAAGGTCGCATTTTAGAAAATGATTCTCGAACTATCTAAATTTGAAAGATTCATTGAAATCGCACAAAGGGTTCGCGAGATACAGCCGAATTTCCACCGTGTGTTTCAAAAATCACTAAAATGGTATAAGTTTCAGAGCGATTTTAAGGCACTTCTAGCGTGATTTCGGTGGACTGCAAGATCGCATCTTAGAAAATGACTCTCGAACTATGCAAATTTGATCGAATCATTAAGATCGCACAAACGGTTCCCGAGATACAGCCAAATTTTAAACGCGTGTTTCAAAACTCATAAAAATCCTGAAAGTTTGTGAGTGATTTTAAGACACTTCTAGCGAGATTTTGGGGCGGCAAGGCCGTATCGTATAAAATGCCTCTCGCGCTATGCAAATTTGAAAGAATCATTAAAATCGCACGAACGGTACCCGAGATACAGCCAAATTTCCACCGCGTGTTTCGAAATTCGTGAAAATCGTAAAAGTTTCAGAGCGATTTTATGGCACTTCTAGCACGATTTTGGGGGCGGCAAGGCTGTATCATATAAAATATGTCTCGCGCTAAGCAAATTTGAAAGAATCATTGAAATCGCATGGACGGTTCGCCAGATACAGACAAATTATCACTGCGTGTTTCGAAAATTCAAATAAATAGTTAAAGTTTCAGAGAAAAGGAAATTACTTCATCGCAACAGAAAGTTCAAGAATAAAAACACAAGGACACGATTTTTGATAACAAACTAAGGAAAACAGATATTCAAGGTGTTGCAAGAAGGAAATTGCTATATAATGAAAGAAAATAAAAAGTTCAATAAGGAAAACACTGAGAAACAATAAATTTGGACAGGTTTTAATAGAAAATACAGGAAAACGAATATACAGGGGTTCCAAAGGAAATTTAAAAACTTACAATGGGAACGCAAGAAAAACAAACATACAGGGTGTTGCAAACAGAAAACTACTTCACTTAAAAAGAAAATACAAACTTTAAGAAGGAAACATCCCAGAAACGACAAATATAGTCAATTTTACATTTAAGAGCAAGGAAAGGTTATACACAGAGTGATAAAAAATCGCCACATTTAAAAACAAAATCAAAATTCTCGACGAAAAGATTTTAATTCTCTATTAAAGGGTGACAGAACAAAAATACAACTAAATTTTGAATTATGAATAAAAATCGAAGAAAATTTAAACTAATATCTGTTTCTCTCAGAATAGCAAAGAATAGAAAAGGTAGGGAAGCTAGAGTGATAAATAAATAAAACATAAATATGAATTTTGAAATTATCATTGCGACAGATTTTCCAAATATGCCAAGCCAAAGAAGGTGTCGGCCGACACACATGCACCAATATATTACTCTCTATAATTAATTGTCAAACTACTAAAACACGTCAACGCGACTGCAGAATTATGAAATCAAAAGAAAATGCAAGTTAGGAAAAATTCACGCTATTAAATCGATGATAGACATGTCTGCGGCGTGACCGAAGACGCATCGGACGGCATTCGTCAAATTTGAGTTGCTCACGTTATTACGATACATGTGATTTAAAGCAAAAATGTAATTATGAGGTAATACTGTTTAGAAACTTACCAATGTATCGGGTAATCAACGAAAGTACTGAAACAGAAGAAAAACACCTGTGTGAGAACACGCACCATGACGCACACTTATTTAATACGTTCCGTCGGTGAATGTAACTTGGAACATTTTAACTCACAACATTTCCGGTAAATTTGCCAAGGACAGACGCTAATTACACTTATTCAAAATTATCAATAGGATACATATTTCTAATTAGAATTCTCAACATCGAAATGATGCAATAGCGGACGTAGTGGTCCGTCGTCCACATAAAAACACGAGTTTTATTATCAGCTCACGTGCAAATCACCCTTAGCATAACACTAAACACGTATGTTATCATTAGGTGCCGATAATTCCGAGCCTGCCGATTTTCAATCAATAAAATGTAATGTAAATTAATGTAATCAAAATGAATGAAAGAAAGATGCCGAGCCACGTGCTGGTAAAAATAGACTAAAACGGTCGAACGTTCGTAGCGTGAACGCAAAATCGCGATATCGCGATACAAAAACTTGTTTATACGCAAACCGCGATAAGCGTGTAGAATTGAAACAGAACATTTCCGATGTGTACTAAAATAAAATATAATATCATCATATAAGTTGTAAATTATGGCACAAATTTACAAAAATGAGAAAGACGATCGCACCGGTTCTCAAGATACAGACAAATCTCCACCGCGTGTTTCAAAAATTCACAAAAATTGTAAAAGTTTGAGAGCGATTGTAAAACACTTTCAGCGTGATTTCGGGAGCGGTAATGTAATCAAAAACAGGCCACCGTACGTATCACCGTAACGCTGAAATGGAAGTAAATATAACTTAACTGACATTTGTTTTATAAAGTTAAAACAGGCTTTACAAATTTCGTGAGTGTTAACTTAGCCTTGGTAGGTTGACACAATTATACGTAAATATCATACATCAAACCGCAATTTTCAGGTTGCTATCTCTTTTAGTTTGGAAGATATTCGCTATTGAAAATCGTCGAGAAAAATTATCAAGCACCCATCCTCGGCAAATTTTTCTTAAGAATTAAAATTTCATCTCTCAGATTTCCGTTTTAACTATCCCATCTTATAGAGAATAGTCTGTAGATTAAGACGCTGTGATCAGATCCTATTTATCTCTTTTAGTTTATGAGATATTCGCGATTGAATAAAATAGGCAAAAATTAAAAAATGTCACTTTTTAGTACTTTTAGTCACATCTTTCGATCTTTTATCCTATGATATTTAATTATTTTATATTCTAATCTAATAGAGAATTTTCCAGTCTTTCATAATCGGTAATTCGTTAGATTCTAGCGCTTTTAGTTTAGACATTTAGACATTTAGTTAAAACATGTTTTATATATATTGCAAGATATGTATTACTTACAAGATGGAACATGTTCGCACGACATCGCCTTTGTAATCCATGACATCCAACGGACGACAGAGAATAATTTCACGATTTGCTAACAATGCACACACTATAAATTATCAGAAACATGGCGATTCGCGACAATAAATACACGAGTAACTGACCACAGTTCAAATTGGTAATTACTACTCGACTCAGAATGTTTCAGCGACGGCGACAAACATTCGCAACTGCGCGGATGAAAGACACTTAAGTTGCATGTAGCGTGTGAATTCCGACGGCACATCGTCTCAAGGACGTAAACAAATAAATTTAACAGATAAAGACTAAACCTGCTGCACCAATTCGCGCGATCTCTCACGGCATGCATGTTTCCACACTACTACCTGCCAACAACTGGCAGCGAGATATATGCTTAGAATTTACTGCACATATGTGCATGCTAGCGCCATCTTTCGACAATTTGCGATGAGTCGTTTCTCCGCGGCGAAATATCATGCATCCAAGTTTTTGGTGCGAAAACAAACCAAATAACCTTCAATACTAAACAGTATCCCGGTTTTAAGTTTGTTTAAATTAGTTTAATTTCTTTTAGGTTGTGATAACTTACATTCTGTTAAATTATTCGATATGGAACGAACGAAAGAACAAATCCAGGAAATGTTATCCCTTGCCAAGCTCTGCCCAGATGATTTACTCCCAACAACACAAACAATCTACTTTGCACCAAATTTACACAAACATAATGAATATAAGTTTATTCAACTCAACCCAAAACTTGAGGCAACTTTAAAAGCCGGGGATGTGTTGCATATAAATGGTGAACAGGATGACAATGCTGTGCTCTGTACTGAAGATACTACATATGAATTATTACATTCAGAAACCTCCAACAGTCTGCTGCTTGTCAAAGATTTAAAATTAAGAGATACTCTAGCAAAACCAATTGAAAACTCTTTGCCAGATATTCATAAAGTGCCAATTGAAGGTATCTTCTATGATTATTTGGAAGCTGTTCATAGAAAACCTCAATTGTCAAAGTTAAAAAATATTTTAGAAGAAACAACATACAAGGGACCAGAATTGGAATATGAGGTTGATAAATCTAAACTGTATACTTTTGAAGATCTTTGGCTCAAGGAACAAGCTTCTAAAATAGAACTAAAAGCTGCTTTGCATGAAATGCAAGTGATTACAGTTGATGGCAAACTTCGTTTGCTTGATTTTGAGTATCACTTTAGAGTATTGTCATTCATGTTAAAGATAATTGACGAAAATTCTTGGCCACTAGATGAGGTTGACTTTGAGGTGACAGTGGAGACTTTGAATGATTTAGTTCCACTGGATGTGTTAACTTCTGTGTTTGAATTATACACTGAGGAAACTAAAGTCAGAGATGGCACACAGTTGTATAGATATAAAGAATTTGATGTATGCCAGTTCTTTGCTCAGGTACTGCTGTACAGTGCTGGCAAATTTAATTTAAAAGACTTTCTGCAAGCATGGCAGGAATCTGTGCCTGAAGGCATGATTACTGATGAAGAGATGTTGTATGGCATTGCAATTGTTGATAGAAAAGCAAATCCAAGTGTTGTGTGGAGTTTTCCGGAGAATAAGTTGCCTCAAAATATCAATGAGAGATTTAAAGTATTATTTGATACAAAGGAGAAGTGGAGTGTTAATGAGATTGCACCTTATATTAAGTAAGAATTCGTATTATTTGGGTTTTTAATTGTTTCATTGATTATATTTTTGTAGGAGATTAACGAATGATAAACAAGACGTCAATGCATTATTAACGAAACATGCTCGACCCTCGAAAATTGATGGAGTGAAGTATTATTCATCGAAACATGCCAAATAAATTTAATATTATTTTAAAGTGTAAATAAAGCTATTTTTCTCTTATTCAACATTGAATTTAGAATTGATTTCATCTCATTTTTGCATGTGGTGCTCTCCGGTGGTGATTCTGAAGATAATTTGATTGTAAATGGTTCATAGAGGAAGCGCAGACATGGAAATGTCTAGTAAGTAACTTGAATAGCAAATTTACTGCAAAAAACAGCAGGAAACCGCTTTCAAATGTATAAAAATATGTATTGATAGGTATAGTTTAATTATTTATTAGTTTAGAGTATTATTATCACATTGAATGACATAGAATTTCACAATATCGATTTTCGAAAAATGTATACGCCTAATCGTGCATATTAATTAAATTTATCATACGCAATAATTGAATAATGTACGCGAAGATAGAAGTTAGACATTCTCATGTATATACATTACAATATATTATAAAGTATTTGTACTAATAGTAAAGTGATAAGTACGATTAGAATTATGTGCCAAGAGACGCCATTTAGCGTAAGACCAACGTTAAAATGACGATTTTGGCAAAATTGTGTATGAGTTAAATGAGTATAATCTAATTTCGTAGGCGTTTGATCGTTGACGTCATGACGCGTTGTGTTTCGAATTGCAGTCGAGTATTTACAATAATGGGGCCAAGTGACGATTTGCCACCTAAAGGCTTACACACGAAACATTCACTTCTCTAACAAGACTTACTCTAACTCTATGTTTTACATTTGTTTGATTTATGTACATTAAAAGTTAGAATTGAAAAAATAGCCTTAATTTTTGTACATGTCACATAGGACTTTCTCCATTGGAGTGTTGCCGATGGTTTTGTGAAAAAATATAGTCTCAATACGAGCGGCGGGTACAATACGAAGCAAGGGTAACATGAGTAGAAGTCGACCAAATCGGGCCACTTGACCAGGAAGTTGAGCACGACAATGCTGCCACAGCATGACTTGAGCTTGATCTTGAAGGTTCTCAATTTGGCTTGGATCTTTCAAACCACGTGTTTCTGCAAAGTAAATGTTTATATCATCTGCATATATTTAAAATCTTTGATTTTACCTGCTCTAAAGAGAACAATTGCTTTCAAACAAGCGAATTCTGCTGGATCGACATGTACAGTCTTGAATCGTATTAAAGTATCAGCGAGATACCTAACATCCGTTGTAGAGTGTCCGTTTTTGGCGTGTTCGTTAGGATTGAATAATGGGGACGCTCCCACGTCCAATGGCATGCACCATTGAATTGCATTCAAGAGAAAAAGTTCACTCCAAGCTTCTTCCAACAAAATTACCTGCGATAATAAATAAATTATAAGTATTTTATCGAAAAATAAGGTTTTTATAATTACTTGATCGCGAAATGGTAAGCTGGCAAAACTGGGTAGGTTTTTCGCCCACTTGACAGCCATGAAAAGCAGCCTTGCCGAGGTCTCGTAGACAGTCTCACTGGAGCTGGGATATAATCCAGCGGCGAGTGCGGATTGCGGTTCGGGTCGCAACGGGCCACTGCTGGACGACACTCCGCACCCAGCCGGTGTATCCTCCTCCTCGTTGGTAACATCTATACTTTCCTCTGCAGCAAATAAATATAAAAAACGATAATTTTTACCTGGTCAAGAAAAAATGCAATAAATTTTAATTCATTCAATAAATCTCTGCATACACCGTTTTGAAATAAGCGATTAGACGAAGGACGGGTTTTCAATTAAATTAATACATATTTAATGTGATGCGGGTATGTGGCGCGGGCGATAGTTGCGCGAAACAGCGAAAGGATGGGTAATCCCGCTTGTTGCAGACTCAAGTCGGCAAGTCGGGGCGATATTCCCCAAAGAATAATTAGTCACTGCGATCGCTTTGCATATCGCAGACTGGTTTAATCCGCGTTTGCTCAGAAGGGATGCCCACAGTATAGAGGTGAGGTGGGATTACACATGTGAGGATCATGTAAAGACGTCACAGAAAAATATACGCAAACAAATACATATATTGTGTGGAATTATATTTTGATGTACGTACCATCGTTGTCACTACTGACATCCTGCTTGATTGGCGATGGTTCCCGGTTGATCATCGGAGGCGGCGGTACAGCGTGCAGCAGCCCACCGGGCGCGTACCTGGCTACCGGTGACAGCGCCATTGTGAGGGAAACCGGTGGACTGTAAAGAGATGAAAAATACAGGTGAACTACGCTCAATAACACCACTAGTGTGGCTAATCGGGTGTGAGATAATGCGGTCTCTTCACTTCTAAGCTCACTCGTCACCCGTCGTCACCTTTACGCCTTACGGTTGATAGGTTGATTTGTTTCAGTGCTAACATGTATTGATTGATAGGTAGTATGTGGAGAGATTGTGTGAAGATATTTTTTTGCTCACCCAAACACACCAACGGCGACGGCGGCCTCTCGAAGGGCTCTTTCTTGTTCGACGCTCATGTCGCGCAGGGCTTCCGGTCGAATGGTGGCTGTATTGCGAGGTTGTCTTTCGTTTTGCACAGCTGAAATTAGATAATAGTTATTTTATTAAAATTGCGTTTGTTTGATTGCTAAAGTCTAGAGTATAGTTCAATTTGTTTTGGCATTAGTTAAATAGTTTGGTTTGTCTAAGGACGCAATTGTTTACCGAAATAGCGTCGCCGTTGGTGACGGTGGCGGTGTTCCTTTTGCATTAATTTTGGAGGACGAACCGCCACAGCATCTACGGACAATTGCATATATTTAACAATATTGTTTCGATTTGTTTTAATCGAAACGCTTTTTAATTACATTAATGATTTATTAAAATTTAATAAAAATTTGAATGTCGATGAAACCGAGTCTTTGTCTATTAAGATATTAACCAATCAGTCTATTTTTTTTCCTAAAGTAATATTTTATAGAATTGGTGTTAGAATTGGTTTTTAAAATGAATATTCAACATTTTATTAAATTTCTTTTAACCTAACCTCACATAACCTTCATAACTTTATTTTATCTGTTTGTAAGTTATTGAATCACTTTGCATACGGTTCAAAAGTATTGTAAAAGGGTGTTTGATGTTCAAATGAGCGTAATAAGACCACAAAGAGCATAAAATGTGAACGCGCAAATAATTACGACCACAATTACTCGGCGGGTGCGTGCGACACGCGTATTAAATACATATCGCAACGGATACTACCCGTCGAAGCGCAAAGAATGTCTGTCGCCCCTTTGACGCTATGCAAAGTTGTTTCACTTTGCATGGCATGAGGCATGAAGCATACGATATGCTCCACATCTCTCCACCCCTTTGAATGAGCGCGTGCGTTCGCTACATCATTTAAATATCACGGTCAATTATTTCACGCAAAATGTGGCAAACAAACGCGGCACGTGCGAAAAAAAATTCAATCCCTGCACGGATTTAATTTTAGAATCTTCATTGTGCATAATATATTTATAATAAAATGTTAAATGTGCAAGATTAAGGTGAAAGTTTTAATACGTATTAAATGCGGAACAATCGGTAAACAAATGAAGGCAATCGGGGTTGTTTCAGGGGTTTGAGGCTGTGGGCGCGCGCGAAAAGGGAAAAGAAGCACCCGCGGGCGTTCGCAGCAGGCCACACGTAGCGTCCTTATTTTGCATCGTTAACCGCGCGACGTTCGTCGGCGGCGTCGTCGCTGCGCCAGTGTGCGAAATGTTTGAGGGGTGGTTTTGCGGCAGAGCCGGGAGCGGTGCGACGTGCGAACGCGAAAGTCGCCGCGGCGCGCGTCGGCGACGCCCATCGCACACGCGGACGAGAGGGGCGCCCCACCCGCGCGCTTTTGTCTCCGGCGAGGGCCGACAAAGGACAAAAACTAATTCGCGCACACAAAGCGTAACAACTAGCGCAACAAACACACTACGTAAATGAACAATGAGGGCGCGCGTAATTCGCATAAACGCATTTACAAATCTCGCGCGGAACAAAGCGGACGGCAAGGACGACAAAAGGATTTGCGTCAGCTTGTGAAGCAGAGCATTCTCGTTTCGCCGCCGAGTGATATACTGCTAGTTCATAAGTAATTTAAAAGTAGTTTTTTTCGCTTTTAAATTAGAGTTATTTATGCGCGCGTTTTTTTTTATATTGCGAGAGGGTGGAGGCGCCAGAAGGAAAACTCGTAAACTCGGAAATGTAAATTTACGTTAATGACCTCTTCCTGCCTTGCGTTTAACTTCCTCGCCTCTGTTTTCCGCTTTCTATCTGCTCCCATCTTCTCCCCTTTGCCAAGAAAAGCCGAAAGCTTTATAACAATGCGCGTATAAACTCGTTTCCCTTGAGTTTTCCACAATTTCCTTTATAACCTTTATTCAAAGCATCTTAACATTACAACCCCTCCGATTTGTGAGAGTTGCAGTATTTTTCAACCCTTCCAACAACAGTTTTTAAACGAAATTAAATTATAACTCACCGTCTTTGTTCATCCCCATTGTGAGGCATTTCTTGAGGCGACATGCTTGACACTGGTTGCGATGTGCTTTGTCCACCACACAACGACCGGTACCAGCTTGGCATCTGCAACAAACAAAAACAATTAATATTAAATCCTCATAAATACATCAAAACTAAAAGTTGCACTTTGCGTGTCATGATTCACTGTTCTCCAGAGAGATGGATGCGAAAGGCGAGCACAAGGATCAACTTGATCGTTCCACAACGCGGGGAATAACCGATCTCACTAATCCTAGACGTGGTTGGAGCGTTGGATGGCTGTGGGTATCAGGTGGTTGCGCCGAGCAAAATGCGACAGTTGCCTTCTGGTTATCAAACCACACTCCCAGCCTCCAACCCTCTACTGGTAGCAACATCTGATATCATACACCTACCGAGTGTTTTCCACTTAAAATTTTATCAACATTTTTCTTCGTTAATGTTTAATTTCCACGTGGAACACATGGTATCTTCTATAAGATTTTTTGCGCGTTGGCGGTTTAACAGTTTAACCATTTAACATTAAATTTGGGATTTTGTGTCGCATGTGCGCGTTCATCCTTGCGCCCCTTGACATCCCCAACCTGCGCTAAATGACATTATAAATGATGTTAAATTTTTTACCTTCGCTTTAAACCTCATGGCACCGCTTCCGCGCTCCACTTTCAGTCGTTTGTTATGTTTTACTTGACACGCGAAATGTTTGAGCGCTTGACATTCCACGCCTCGCTGCTGGCGTAGGGAGCAAATAAAAAATAAAAATGGAGGACTTAATAGGATTTGGAAATATATTGGTTCCTTGCAAGGGTGGCACTTTATTTTCGTATACGAAAGCTGGGAGAAAGAAGCGATTCTTATGAGGAGACAGCGAAAAAGCGAACGCGGGAGAGGAAAGTGTCGAAGAAGCGGGAGCGCCCGAGATTACTGTATCGGAATATCGGCGATAGCGTCGGAAATTGGAAATGGGAAATAATGTCGCCCCGTTCTTCCTTCCGTGCTCTGCGCGATGGTATTACGTCGATATTAGGTAACGGAAAGCAGGCGAGGATATCAGAAAACGATTCCGCCGGAAATAAAAAGGAAAAGTTCCAAATTGAATGTCGCACGTTACCAAATATATATAGATTGGTAATTTGCCACAAACGTAAACATTGCTTTTGTTTTCTTCAATGAATTATTTATCAATAAACAAGATGTGAAACAACACGTTCTCTAAAAGAGTCTAAAAAATTATTAAATTTAAAAATCAGTTTTATTGACGTGTTGGTTGTCTATATACAAAGAAACTTTTTATTTAATCATGCTGCCGAATTCCAAATATGAAATTTAGAAATATTATTGAAGCAAATATTACAAAAAGAAAACTTTTTCTGCAGCGTTGGCACGTCGCCGCCACAGAAAAAATAGAAATGTAAATTATCCGGGCCAGCAATCATAAAGTATTAGCAAAGAGTCGGGTCGTCTTTTTACAAATCCTCTGCTTTCATTCCGGCGCGCTCGGGAATCGAAAAGGCCCGTCGCAAGTGGAAATTCAATTAAAGTTGAAACTCCGAACGGCGCGCCGAAAAGAATCCATAAAATCCGGCGACATCATCAAAGAAAAAACGAAAAGCCTGAGCGCCGGCACGAAGACAACAACAAAAAAGGACGCCACGCCGCGACGTCGAGGCCGATATGAGCTAGCACCGAGAAAATGGAAAATATAAATAAAAACAGCGTGACAGAAAACGCTGCGAAGTGCCAGAAAAGCAGAAATAAATAAAATTCCACAAAGACATCTTTCCATCGTATTCTGGGGGCTTAGACATTTCACATCTTCATTTTTACTTATTCTATGCATGTTCTTTTTCATAAAATCTTTGTTTATTTCGATATAAAATCGACACACATGTAATATCAAGCACACGATGATTGATTGCATTGTTGTTCGAGTTTGCGGGTCGCATGTCTGACAAGGCTTCAATCTGAGGCGCGGGCGCGTCTTATATTCTTATATCTTTAGTTAACCAACAACTGGTGCTCGAGGAGCGCGCAAAATCTCCCAACACATGGATGGCGACACTAAAAATGGAGATATGCGAGCGTACGCCAATAAACAGAAACGATATCAAAGCTGGATAGACGGAAAGCAGGGCGAAGCAAACTATACGAAAAAATGAGAAAACTTGGCTTATTATCGTTTTACGACCGACAGCGGCGAGGAATATGTGACTCGCCGTGATTGCGCGAAACTTTGATACGATACATGCGAAGGATTGTATCACAGCAAACGAAAACTTCAACTCAACTTCGATATCGATGCTCACGTATTTTTACGTTCTTTTGTTCCATTTTCAATTTTTTTTTTATTTATTTTGAAAATATAGTAATTTGTGGTTTTAGCTAATTAAAATTTATATTCCGTGTATTTCGGGCGATTTTGTATATTTACGACTAAATTGATTCCGTGATGTGTTTTTGTTTGCTCACTCGAATCCGCCGCTTTACCCGGATTAACATTTCAATTTGCAAATAACGCGAATTTGATGATACCATGATGACCGACAAAAGGGAAGAACGAAACGGCGCGCAGCGAGCGGAGATTGCGCCGACCGCAATCAATTAGAACCGGCTAGGATGTCGAAAGCGGTAAAAGCAGCACAACCAAAGGCATCGTTAATCCTGCTCCCGATCCGGCTTTCGAGCTTTTCTTTTGTGCGATCCTGCACGGATCAATCATGCCAAAAATAGTTTCCCAAGACAAAAGTTACACAACTTATACTAAACAAAACTAACCTGTAAATGAGCTTTCGTCGCACAGAACGTTTGAAGAATCCACTGCATCCATTACAAGCCAAGATACCATAGTGCTTACCACTGCTGGTATCACCACACACCACGCAGATTAAACCTGGAACACCTTTCTTTGTAGGCAACGACCATGGCGGTGGTGGAGTCCTAGAAGCTTGTACTAAAGTCTGCGAATTTGGTGGTAGACACAGTGCCAGTGGATGTTGTTCATTCTCCGACGACGAGTAACAATCAGCGCTTGCTGGCGAACTTCTCATTTCTGCAACAAACATCAACATGCACTTAGATAAATTGCTTACAAATGGTTATGCAAAATTATTTAAATTCATCACGCCGACGACTTTTAAAAGTTGCCTTGCCATATGTGTAATCCTCCCGGCTTAATTTCCTTGCAATGCAAAATCACATTCAAAAAAGAAGTTACGAGTTAATCCGAGGGTCTACGAGTTCTATTGATATTCTAATCGACTAGTAAGTGGTATCGGGGGTGCGCGCATACACCCTCAATACAATTAATTCAATTTAAAATATCTACAACTTTTATAACATATCATTTAAGATAATTTTTGAATTCTATAAGTATACGAAATTGAAGGGCTAAATAATTTTCCATTAAGTGACGCCCTATTAAAATTCCACCCATGCGTGCCGAAATAACCAAATAATAACTGAATCGAAGTGAATTGCTCTTGGGGGACGTCGAGATTTTACCGAGGGTTGATGCTACGTTGTGCGAGCATGGCATGTGGTCAAGCAAATTAAATATCTATTACTAAAGGCGCTACGTACACGGCTTTGCGATACTTTTCATTCTGTAGGATTAAGCGGGTTGCCGAGGGAGGCAAGTGCGGAGTTAATCCGCCACCACCGAACCAAATTTGTTGCGATATGGATATCATATGGATATCCATATGCGATTTAATCAAATTAGGGTGTCATATGACATGTAATTTTAATAGTGCTTAAAAGTCGATTAATCCATATCTACATACAACAAAAACACGCATATTTATTGTTTTTCAAGAATAGATACTACAAGTAATACTAGCACCAACTGTTCTATTTAAAATCAGTGATGAAGCAACCCTTAAAATTCAATTTGGTGAAGATTGCAAGAGTGTCTATTTAATGCGATTGCCACTGGGATAGAATGGAAGCAGCGGGTGGAACTCAGGTGGCGCATGATTCGAGTTGAGGGGCTCTTTAATCCCCGCTCGGCCCGTCGGACACCACATGATACGCCCGCAATAAATGATAAAAGGATGATCTGGAGTCCCCCTTTGGAGGATACACGGATATTTCAACTCGAAACTGCATCGGAGCGTGAGTCCACCAGGATTTGCATTCAATCGTGTTACAACTTGCCATATGTGAAGAGATCCGACACATGTCACAACAATCTGTCATTTAATAATTGTGTCAAGTATCTATTCATCTCTAAACTCCGAAAATATTCCTAACCACAACAAAAAATTATTTATTGTTGATTTATTGATTGCAAGTGTTGAATCATTAAATTAATTCGATGGTGGCACGTCGCGTTATGCTTCGTTATCTTCGTGCCGGTTCCGGGCTGCGTAATTAAGTTAGCTCGACACTTCGGCAATTCACCGATTGTCACATTCGTTCCCGTTTGTTGGGTGATGATTCGATTTGTGCGCGACGAGTGCATTAACACTCAATCCACCCCTACTCTCGTCTTTTGCTGCTTAGTGTGTTCATGTTCAATTCTACTGCTTCAAGATGCATGCTTGGAATTAATTCGATTCACGAAATAAAAGAAACTCTGTATTTACCATTTGTGATGTGATGGTGTTCACCGACTGGTGAGCAGGGCATGCCGGGCATGAGCGCCGTCGCCGAGCAGTCCATCGGCGATGACATTGACAGATTCATTCAATGCCCGGCACCTTCGCCAATTCTTAATTTTTTTAAACACTGTTTCTTTCTGTGCAAATTTTAACTCTAACACTAATAACACTGATTGAAAATTTTTGAGAATTTTTAAGCCTTTTGTTTATTTATTTCTTTATTTAAAGTTGATTTAATGTGTGTTTTGTATTGTTTTATGTTATGTGAGTGTATAGGTTAATAATCGTTGTCTGCGATGATGATGATGATGCGCCGCGTTTAAGGTGGCGGCGTCGACTAGCTCGCGGATTTGTCCGGCCGGCGGTGGATATCGTTTAGCGGCGCGCGCGACGTATGGCAGGGAGAGAGGTCGCGCCGCCAAAAGGGATGGTCTGATTGTCCTGCGAGCAGGCCTCCTTCTCTTCCGCGCGCGCCCGTTAAGCGTCGTGCTGTCGCGCGCGCTGGTGGGGGCGGGATCAGATCTCGTGTCGTCCTGCCACCACCCGCGTCGGCGAGGCCAGCACACACACAAATCTACTTTCGCACGTTGCATCCGTGTTTAACTTTTAACCAGGCTGCGCGCGCAGATTTTGATACCTGTGCTTTTTGTGTGTATAACTAAAGGTATTGACACATTTGCTTGCGCGATGCTGCGATTGACACAAGATGCACATGTGGTTGCAAACTTTTTTATTGGAAAACTTTTCACAGTTTTAGCGAAGAGTTTTATTTAATTGCAGCTGGAATAGGTGAAATTTTAAATTGAATTTGTTTTTAGTGTTATGGGATTGTTTTGTTGGCTTGTAGGGAGCGTTTTGGGGTAGAGAAATCGCGAAGGGTGACTTGTGGTGGTTGGCGTCTGGAGGAAACGCGGGTGGTGTGATTGGACGACGCCGCGCGCAGAGGGTGAGATTAATCCCATTGGTTGCTGTTGTCGTGCTTTTTGCTCGTTCATTGGGCAACCCCCACCAATTGTTATGATTTCTGATTCTCACCCCTTATACTAGTAATCTAAAAATAAAAAAATACACCTAATACATAAAAAACACACTTTACAAGTTAATTTTCATAGTTTTATATAAAAACAAAACGTTTTCATGAAAAATTTTTTAAGGGTTGGTAATTTTTGTATTTATGATGGTAAAATCCGTAGTTAACATTTATTACTCGACGATGGCGGCGCAGCATAGCTCAGGACACATCCAGGTCGCCGTCGTCGGTGGCGGCAGGAGAGGAGGGTGCGGGCGGCTGCTGCCTGGCGCCGCCGCCGCCGCCGTGTCGGCTGATCAATAGTGTGTGCCCAGGCGATCGGGGTTCAAATGCCGCAACAGCAAGTGAGCAACCCCGACACTAAACTCGGCTCACGGCGACGGCAGCGATGGCGGTGGTGGCGGCACAGCTGAGCCTAGCTTGCCGTACACACCCAACTGGAAAATACCAAAAGATTTTGTTTTACGTCCTTAAACAATAAAAATAGAAAAATAAAATCACAAGAAAAATAAAAAAGAATGAATGAATTGTTTGGTGAAAGAGATAAATGTCATTTATGCCATAAATTGGTCACATTTGAATATGAACGTATTATCACAAACAATTTCCCCAGCTGCTTTTTTATCAAGTGTAGAACAGAGTAAACATCTAAATCAACTTTTCGTCGTAAAAATGCAAAAACACACAACCACGCAATGTTATTTTGTATTTTTCTGGGTTGTTTGTTTCGAATGCGTCCTTTCTCTCCCTCATGCGTGTGTAGTGGGTTGCCGAGTGGAGTGCGTACGAGGGGTTGATGATGTCAGCACGTGCGTGCCGCGTACACGTCCCGCGGACGTGCGGCCCCACCGAAAAGGCAGAGGCAGAGGCAGACACTGACGCGTGTCAAACGCTGCCGCACAGGTTGGAGTGCGCTGCCGCCGCGCCGCCACCACCGCTATCGAACAATACCTCGTCGATGCGTTAATAAGCGGCGACGTCAAACGCAGGCGGCGCGAACCATGCGAGAACCACCTTCGCCTACCTCTTTGCCACCCGCGGTGCGACGAGCAAACAAAATCACGGCCGGAGCGCACCGCAGCGATCCCTCCGGCTCGCCGCTGCCTCCTTCATCGATCTATTTTGACGAATATGACGTGCGCGCGTATTGGGTGGGCGGCTGGCGCGCGTGGTATTATTTAATCTATTGCGCCGAGTCCGGAAAGTGCATTATGCAAGACGAGACAAGCGATTAATTGTTTCGCGCGGCGATGTTCAACGCTCTTCTTCGATTTTGACGCGCGTCACGACCAGCAGCCTTGGCTTAATTTGATTACATCGCCAGCGCCAGCGGGAGAACAATCAGACGCGCGGAATCGACGCAATGAAATCGAAGCGATGTCAGTTTCCGCGAATGATCAACGTGAGCAAACAATGCGGAAAATGTTATGGTTGGATTCGGTACTTTACCATCCATGCGGTAATATACACGAAATGAATGGCATTCGGCCACCATTAATAAACGATTTCTATATTATTCACAATTAAATCAGGAACACAGAGCGGGTAACTGAATAAAATGTAATCAGGGTTGCATACTCTCTGCCTAAAAATAAGGAGATTTTGGCGATTTTTGACTATTTCTTTTAAAAAATAGTCAATAATTCGAAAACTAATCAAAATATCCAAAGAAAAACTAGAAAAAGGATTCCCTGTTTCATTCTACACAATATAAGAAAGTTTCGTGAAAATCCGAATTGTAATTCAATGCCAGATACGATTTTCACTCAATTTTTCCGAAAACATTGATTCCGGTACATTTAATTCAATATCTGTCCATAACTATGTAAAAACGAAATTATCACACACTGCGTTTCACATTTTGACGATGCACATTTATTTGGGCAAACAATCATCACGCATTGCCTACCTCTGTAGCGCTATAAATTGTAGAACAATTATATTGCAGAATTGCACAATCGCACAATCGATTCACCGTCTCGTCAAACCTGACGCCCGCATGACCAGACAACATTGTACATTTGGGACGCAGTGAGAGGTGAAATGCGTAATTACACATTCCTGCATTCGGAATTTACAATTATCAAAATGGCCGCTTTGAACGCACCGGATGCACTGGACAGAATGCACATGAGATGCGTTTCATTTCCAACCACGTTTTGAGCAATTCAATGCCCATTTCATGCAGAACGATGCGTTGAAACATAAAAATGAGTGATTTGTAAGAGTAATTTGTTTATAATAAGACATAAGAAGATATAATTTTCTTTTTTATTGCAAAAATTATAAAATTGTATTGGAAAAGTTGTAAATTTTTATTATAAAAGTGATATTCTGAAGTTCAATGATAGAGAATTTGATAATATAGTCTGTAGGGTAACAAATAGCAAATGATTTCCGAGTAGATTTACGCCGTGTGCGTGCTCGGATTAAAGGCCTTTGCAGCCGCCAAACCTCTGCCGCTCTCTCCTACGCCGCTCCCGCTTTCAAACCGAGTATTTGCCGGCAGGGCAAAGCGCATTGACGCCCACGTCGGTGTCGGCGCGAAACGACATCGGAATGCAAATTAAAGACACTCGCCTATAGCCCATCCCAACCACCAGAAGGGACTGCCACCCTACACTCTGATCTACACTCTAACAAAAAACCCATCAATTTGATTCTTATACCCATATTTAAAAAATCATTACATTTATCACTTTTATAAATTAAGTAAAACAACTTTGAAGGTTGTAAGATTGTAAAGTGAACGAGTGAAGCGAGTATAAAGTAAGGTAACGTTAAGTAAGTTGCGAAAATGCAAAGGCGAAAGGCGAAAATTGGATGCGATCGTAATGGGCGACGAGTGGCGGTGACGAAATCCTCTTTACTTTGATTCGATTCACGCGCGCGACGCCAACTACGACGCTCCTCTACAGCTAATTCGATAAAAAGCAACCAGCCGTGCAGTGCTTTCTTCCTGCGTCCTTTCTTGGCGTACGTGTTCTTGTTTGCTTTTTCTACAATTCAAACATTTCGGATGTACTTTTAACGTTACAAAGTCTACATCCACACATTTGTAGTAAAAACGTTATCAAAACAATATGAAACAAGCACAAGTTTACATTGAGAAATCCAATACTCAAGATAAATATTGAGTTAAATATTGAGCTCCTGTTTCGTAACATTTTCGATGTTGCAATGTCGAAATTTGTTGTTCGTGAATCACCTATGGATTGCTCTTCAGCGTCAGCCTCGAGGGTCAGTCTCAACACGAGAATGCACTACGCTTGATTAGTCGTGCTTACGTCCAGGACTACGATGGCGACGTCGCCATGGCGGTGGCGGCCCCGTCTTGATAGATTGCGGCATACATTACGCGAACGCGCGCGTAAACGAAACCGAGGGGCGCTTTTATTTATGTAATCGCGCTCCCGATGGTCCGTTTATCGTCTTGTTTGCGACGCCGTCGCCCGCAGACAGCTCATTTCTATGTGCATTTTTGATTTGATGCGAGCCAATCTAATCCTTTTAATCCTTCAGACTGCACGACTTTGGTCGACGTAACGCACGTAACGCGCTTGGAATTAGTTTTTGCACTTAACTCAAATACGCAGCATGTATGTATATGGGCTAAGCAAAGACATTGACATTCAAAAATTATTCCATTTTTTTTAACATTGAGGATATTTTTAGATGTATGATATATGTAGTTGTTGTAGGTATAGTTGTATTCGACTGGTTGGAAAATGGCGAATGGTGAGAGGGAAATTGTTGCGTTGGCGAACGTCGACATTTATCGGGGGACGCGCCGCGCGCCTGCAACAGATATGTGGCCGACCGACGTCACCGCCGTCGTCCTGCCTGCCGCCGCCATTCGCAATCACTGTAATGTCCAAACCATGTTCGCCGCCGTCCCCGCCAAGCTTAATGCTCCCGCTGAGATTCGCTCCGATTGGATTTTCGATCGTTTGTTCATTTGTAACAACCATTGGCAGCAACGTTCCATTCATAAAAATTAAGAAAGAACAGTATTATATATTTTTAATTACTCAGAGTGTCCAAAAATTGATGTATTATATAACATGAAGATATGAGATTTTTTGAATGAAATTTTACACATTGTAAGAGCGGACTTGCAACATAGGCAACTTATTATACACACGTATTAGAAATAGAATTAGAGTATGAAAATTGCCTATTTTTAAAATATTTGTATTTCTCCTGAAAAAACTAAGATTTGAAACTGTTTAAATGTAATTGGTTACTCCTCATCAATTATTTAAATTGTTTTATCAATAAATTATTGTTTTATATAGGTACAATTATCTTTTTTGCACTTTATGTCAACTTAAATTGAGAAAAAAATCTCGATAATTTACGTATTAAAATTTTAAATAAATATTTGTTATGTACTATTATAAATTACTAATATTTTTCCAGGAATATTTTAAGTTGTTTGAAATAAATTACTTGTAGTGGTAGTGGTAGTCGGCCTGCGTCAAATCGCTAGGTTACCAGTGCGGCGCCCGAGCAGTTGTCCCGTGCGAATCAGTTGTCTGCCGTTTTCCTCCTTTCTTTTCCCGATTTTTTGCGTGACGATCATGAGTGAGGAACCGAACGTATCGCCTGAGGTCGTCGAGCAGGCCGAGAAGCTGAAGAACGAAGCAAATGATTACTTCAAAAGTATGTAGACATCCGCTCACGCTGATATTGACTCCTCTAACCTATCGTACAACCGGAAAAATGAAATCATTGCTTTTCAGAACAAAACTACAACACAGCAATAGAGTATTACACCAAAGCAATAGACCTTAACGCAACGGTCGCCGTGTATTTTAGCAATCGGAGTGCTGCTTACCTTAAAACAGAATGCTTTGGCTATGCACTCTCAGATGCATCCAAAGCTATTGAGCTGGACAATACCTACATCAAGGGCTTCTATCGCCGCGCCGCTGCTCACATGTCTTTAGGCAAATTCAAGGAAGCACTGAGGGACTTTGAATATGTGACAAAAGTGCGTCCAAACAATAAGGATGCTAAACTGAAGTACAATGAATGTAACAAAATTGTTAAGAAGATTGCATTTGAGAAGGCAATTGCAGTGGAGCACAACAAGAAGAGCATTGCTGATAGTATAAATTTAGATTCTATGAGTAAGCTTTCATCTTTTATATTATTTTGTATAAATTTTGTATTTATCGTGTGTTGCTTCTGTAGCAATTGAAAATGACTACACTGGTCCTGAATTGGAGGATGGTAAAGTTACCCTTAAGTTTATGAAGGAGTTAATGGAATTGTACAAGAGCTGTGGCAAGTTGCACAGGAAGTATGCATTTAAGATATTACTGGATATAAAGGCTTACTTCATGGAGCAGCCTTCACTGGTTGATGTGCCTATTGGAGATGATGATAAGTTTACTGTTTGTGGTGATATCCATGGACAATACTATGATCTCATGAACATATTTGAAAAGAATGGACTGCCATCATCTACAAATCCCTATGTATGTAATTTTTTATACAATTTTCCTTTTTTTTTCCTTTTAAATGTTTGAAAAAATGTTTTTTTGTGTTTTTCAGTTGTTTAATGGAGATTTCGTCGATCGAGGTTCGTTTTCCGTTGAATGCATCTTCACTCTTTTCGGTTTTAAGCTTCTGTACCCCAACAACTTCTTCATGTCGCGCGGTAATCACGAAAGTGCTACAATGAACCAAATGTACGGTTTCGAGGGCGAGGTTAAGGCGAAGTACACCTCGCGTATGGCCGACCTCTTCACAGAGGTATACAACTGGCTGCCTTTAGCGCACTGCCTCAATAAACGCGTGCTGGTTATGCATGGTGGGCTGTTTAGTCGTGACGATGTTACGCTGGAGGAAATTCGTACTATCGAGCGCAATAGACAACCGCCTGATGAGGGCCCCATGTGCGAATTGCTGTGGAGTGATCCACACCCACAGGAAGGCCGCGCGCCGAGTAAACGCGGCGTGGGATGCCAGTTTGGACCGGACGTCACCAAGCGCTTCCTTGAGCTGAACAAGTTGGACTACATCATTCGCAGTCATGAGGTTAAGAAAGACGGTTACGAGGTGGCGCACAATGGAAAATGCATTACTGTGTTTTCTGCTCCAAATTATTGGTAGGAATATGATTATTTTCTGTAATGTATAAAATTTTATATTGTTATATTTTGCAGTGATACAATGGGAAACCTAGGAGCATTTATCGTTCTGAACGGAAAGGAAATGCTGCCTCAATACACCACATATGAAGCAGTTGTAAGTTTTGTGATTTATCACAATGTTTTGATATATAAACGATGTTTTTTTTTTGTTTCAGCCTCATCCGGATGTGAAACCAATGGCCTATGCGTCCTCACTGCTCAGCATGATGTGCTAGTACCCACACCGCAGCACATCGTCCTTTATTTAGGTTCATAGATCAATTGCATAACAACTAATTTCCCAAATACTTAGTCGCAAATCGTGTTTAGCCCGAGATGGCCATCGTCGGTTTGTTTGTTTTGTTTTTCTTTGTTTTTTTTGTTTTCTTACGAAAATCTCCGGTGATCATTCTATACGTCACGTACTTTCGTAACTGATACGGAATTACTAAAACCCCAATGATTTAAATCACAGATGATGAATTTAATTACTTGATTAATTCATAACGAAAAGTCAATAGTGAATTGTGAAGGTGTGAAAAATTGAGTTATGGGTACTTTTAGGACCAACTACGAGTATATCACGAGGTATCAACTAAATGAATATTGTTAATATGCATTAATACATTATATAAAGAACATTTTAGACCATAGCTTCCTGAACTTTCGTACGCAACTTTTTTAAAACTTGAGCAATATGTTTGTCTACGATTTGAAGGGCAGTTACCATCGTTTATTATGAGTACAAAAATACAATCATACAAAATCGCAAAAATTGCTATAATTAACATTAACACATAATATTAACGCATTGGCACGTTTGTTTTTTGAAGTTAAGTTTTAATTTTAATTACGAACACATTGAATTTGATACTTCTGCATTGCTCCGCCGTCAAATTAATTAATGGTATTCTTTATAGTATATCTATGTACAAATACGCGACTCGCAGTAGTGGCCTGCAGGTCGCTTAATATGGCAAAACATAATTTCGTTATTAAACGCTCGCGTACAGTGTGCATATTCCATAAACGTAAAGGAAGGGATTTGATGAGACGATTTTCGTTTCTTTTTCTCATTAATGAATAAATTCGGACTAGTTACAAAAAGGATAATTTAATTAGGGCCGGAATTAAATCCGATTGGAGTCGACGTCCGTGGACTCCTCGAATGGTGTCAGCTTGCCGGCCTTCGCGCACGAAAGGCAACAGAAGCGCGAATAGTACTGGTGGTTACATAAGTTGTTGCGAACAATGATGTTGCAATTCGCCAAGAATGGATTATCCCTACACGATGGAGGAATATACGGACCTAAAGACATAAATGTTTGAATATGTTAGATGTTATGTTTATAATACGTACCACTCTTGACGGTAACTGTAGCAGAGCCACTATGTTGGCTGTAGACATTGGTCGCTTCACACTTGTAGGTACCCGCATCATCGCTGGTAATATTCCTGATCAGCAATCGATTTGTTTCCGTGATTTCGTAGTGCGGAGAGCGTTCCAGCCTCTCATCGTCCTTGAACCACTCCACCCGCGGTACTGGATATCCGTCAACATCACACGAGATGCCCACGTCGTGTCCTTGGCTTGCGGATGCTTCAGTTGGGTTGACACGTACCACAACAGGAACTACAAAAGTCATACACTTAAATTCAACTCTATAACTTCCATAGTGTTGTTTTGTTAAACCACCACTTTTACATGCTCTTCATCTAAATAAGTTATTAATTACAATTCATGCAATATCAAACCTTGATAGGTCCTTGGTGGCTCAGTATAAACTGGTGGAACGTATGCAGGTTGATGTGTTGCAACGTGTGCGTATTGACCATATGGAGGATAGTACGGAGATTGCGTGGGTTCTATTCTTGATGGGGGCTGGTCAATCACGTATTGCATGTAAATCGAGTCATCAGGGTTGGTGCTGTATACAGGACCTTGTGCCTGGACTGTAACGCTCCAACTGGCGGCTTTACCAATACCATTGTATGTTTGACAAGTGTATACGCCCAGATCATGTAATTCCACTTTGTTGATAAGTAGGGAATAGTCCTTGCGTTGCTCATACTGACTGGTCTTGAGCGGGATAAGCGACTCATTTCTCCACCACGTGACTGTTGGAATAGGGAAGCCGAGGGCATAGCAGTTGAGCACGGCTGGCGAGCCCAATCCAACAGTGACTGCACGCTCTTCTTCTGGGACGTCTAATAGACCCGCTTCGAAGGGTACACCATCTACTCATTTGTTAGTTTACCCACAACCACGAAACATGCGCATGTTAGAATTACATACAATTAAATACAAACACCAACTAAGTATTACTAATATATTGAACGTAGAATAAAACATACCTGAAACGGTGAGTTCCACTTGGTTCTTAATCTTTGGACCCACTGCATTATCAGCTGTACACAAGTAAATGCCGCTGTCGGTGCGATGCAAGGTAACAATTTGCAAGTTACCATCAAGAAGAAGACGGTAACGAGGTAGTTTACCATCAATCTGTAAAATAAATTTGTTTTAGATAACATCAACAAGCAGGAAAAAATAATATTGTGACTTACAATAAGGTTGTCTTTGCTCCAACTGATAGTCGGATGTGGATTACCACGTACAGAACAACTCAACGTCGCAAAATCACCCTCTCTAGCAGTGACTGCTGGTTCATATGAGTCTTCATCGATGACCGGAGCATATTCTAAACATTTTTATCATTAAATCCCTAATTAAAGAATAAGTAATAAGTTACTTACGTCCTGCTTCAATTGGTGGTGCGGTGTATGCAGGCTGGTAATGCGTGGGTACCTGGTGTTCACTAGGTTCATCGGAATGAGGAGGCACGCAAGCAGTACCGCATCCGCCAGTTGAACAACATTTAAGATCTAAAGTACAATCAGCGTCCGAACGGCATTCTTCATACCGTTCGCAATCTTCATTCGACCTTGGTGCCAATTGAGGACAGATACCACGTTTATTCTCTGTAAACATTTACTTAAGTTAGACCAAAGATCAATAATATATTTGCATTAATTACCTTGACGGCAAGTAGCAACAAAAGTATCATCCTCGTTTGTTCTTCGGTTGTGGTTTACATCAATACCGCAACGCGTTCCTGGTTCACAATAGACATCCTTGCAAGGATCATGGCATGAGCAGACTGTGCAACCGTTGTTGTCAGTGCGTGCTTGAACTCCATACGGACATTGCAATTCATGGCAATGTTGTTGTTTAGCCAAGCAATCGCCTTCGACCACTGGTATTTCGTTTTCTACATGATAGAAACACAATTAATAAATATTTACAAACCAATCAATTGCTTAAATTAACTATTAGTGCATTTATAATATAATAAAATTAAATGCGGTGCGAATTGAAGCTGCAATTTATGCAACTTACGCTTCCGCAGATACGCATTGCACGTGCGCACACAATCTTGGAAACTATCGAATTGATTGAAGTTCCCAGCACATCCGGTGTAAACGAATGCGAGGCATTCACCACGAGCATTATCAAAGTACCACCTATTCAGTTGGTTACTGCAGCTGCCGACCTCCAACGGTAGCAGGCAAACCTCTTTGTTTGACAAACACAATCTCATTGATTATTAGTTTATATAATTTAAAATTTTGATATCTTACCTCCACTAGTCTTGTTGGGTTTGGTCTCGTCTCGTTTAATGCAGACATCTTGGCACTCCTGTACAGAACTGAAGCGGTTTCCATTGCCTTCACACCCTCCGTAAGCAAACTCGTGACAGCTACCAGTGCGCTCGTCATAATAGAACTTAGAGAAGTATCCTCTGCATGTTCCTTGATCCGGTGGGAATGAGCATACGTCCTGACCTCTAAATGCTCCACATTGCCTCTCGCATTGTTCAATACTGGCATAACGATTACCATTACCGCCACAACCGCTGTAAGTGAAGGTTTCACAACGTTGTGTTTGAATGTTAAAGTAGAACGATGCGATAGACTCGTTACAGTATCCAGGATCAACATGTTCATAGCAGATAGCTGTGTCACTAGCAGGTGCCTGGGTGGCCGGTTCTCTTCCACCTTGTTTACAACTCTGTTCGCATTCCCCAATGCTGTCAAAGCGGTTTGCGTTACCCAAACATCCACTGTATGTAAACTCTTGACAGGAATTCGTATCACGGTCATAGAAGACTTGAGCAAATTCACCGGCACAAGGTCCAACCACTTTGGGTAAAGTGCAAAGGTCTTGTGCATTTCCACACATTTGAGTACACTCCTCTTGGGTTTTGAAGTTGTTGGCGTTACCTTCACACCCGCCGTACATAAATTGTTTGCAGACTCCGTCGCGATCGTAGAACCATCTTGCTTCGGAGTCGTTTCGGCATGGACCAGCATCCGAAGGCAAGAAACATTTATCTGTGTTGAAGGGATGTTGTTGACTAGGTGGGCGGCGGTCTTCTTCTCGATCAGGTTGGGCGTATGGATCATAAGGTGGTGGTGGTGGAGGTTCAGAACGTTGACATCTACCAAGACATTCTTGTTCCGTGGCAAAGTTGTTACCATTGCCAGCACATCCACCGTAGAAGAATTGACGGCATTGTTTTTCTGCTGTGTTGTAATACCAGCGCTCTTTGTAATCAGCGCAGTCACCGATTTCTGCTGGGAGGTGGCACATGTCTTTTTCTATAGAAACATATAATTAATATGGTAACATAAACTGATTAGGTGCAACTGAAAAAGTTATTATTTGTTCTGAGTTAGTATGTAAACATGCACTTACGAATCTCTCTCGGACAATCAGCTTCGCATTGATCTTGTGAGATAAAGTTATTTCTGTTACCCTCGCACCCAGTGTAATAGAAGGGCATGCAGCGTTTCTCCGACGCATCGAAGTACCACCTAGAGTCTCGCCCTTCACAATTGCCTTGCGCTCTCGGCAACGCGCAGTGTTCTAATTAGTTACCAAAAAACCCAAAAATCGTGCAAGGATTAAAATTAGTACTTTCTACACCTCAACCAATTCTAATAATTAATTTAAATTAACAAACATACCCTTCTTCCTGTTGGGTGCAGCACATTGTTGTTGACACGCTTGTTCGGTAGGATAATTGTTGTTATTTCCTTGACACCCGCCGTAGTAGAACTGATCGCATGTGCTTGTCTCGTTGTTATAATACCATCGCAGATATTGTCCTCTACAAGGACCTTCTTCTTTAGGCTGATCACAGGAATCTATATTTGAATCAACCACGCATTCTTTGATGCATTCCTCGCTGGTCTCAAAGCGATTATTATTGCCCAAACAACCGCCCCAAATGAATTGAGCGCAGTGATTACGTTCTTGGTCATAGAACCAACTTGGATTGTAACGTTCACATCCGCCGGTGACTTTGGGTAGTTTACATCTGTCACGTCCTTTGGGTTCAACGCAGGTTTCGCTGCACTCCTCCATTGTTCTAAATCTGTTTTCATTACCTTCACAACCTCCGTAGTAAAACCGTGCGCAACCGCCATAATCCTGATCGTAGTACCATTTAACTGAGAAGTTCCTGCAAGGTCCATGTTCTTTGGTCTGCCAACATCCGGCTTGTTTGTTCTCTGGTTTCTCTTCACAACCTTCGAATTTCTCTCCTTTGGCTTCAGTGACACCATCCATGCAGCAGCCAAATTGACTTGCGTCGCATCCACATCCTTCGTTGTTTGGTCCTTGTGCTGGAGTCTTAGTATCTGGGCAACAACCAAATTCGGAGTTTCTGCATCCACAACCTTGTTGATGTGGTCCTTGAGCAATTGATACACCATCTGGGCAACAGCCAAATTGATGAGTGTGACATAAGCATCCTTGGTAATCTGGACCTGCAGCGGGGGTGTAACTATCAGGGCAACAGCCGTTTGGAGTGTATTGACATCCGCATCCTTCGTAATTAGGACCACGAGATGGAGTGGTGTTATCAGGACAACAACGGTATGGAGAATATTCGCAACCGCATCCTTCCAGATTAGGTCCTTCAGCGGGTTTGATATTATCAGGACAACAACCATGCGGTGAACTAAGACAACATCCTTCACGGTAATAGCCATGAGCAGGCGTAATACCATCTTCGCAACAACCGAAAGTGCTGTTCGAACACGGAGTTTCACAACCTTTGAAGTTGATGTTCTCAGCAGCACTGACCCCATCGGGACAACAACCAAACTGAGACTCCTTGCAATTAATGTCGCATCCTTTATAGTGTTCACCCTCTGCAGCGTTCTTTCCATCTGGACAACATCCAAACTTGGTCTTGTTACAATCTTCTTTATCCTTGCCACATCCCTTGTATTTGGGACCCTTGGCTTTCGTGACATTATCTTTACAACATCCCCACTTGGATTTAAGACACTTCGGCGGTGGTGGTGGACATCCTTCCTTGTTCTCGCCTTCAGCAGGGGTCTTTTTATCCGGGCAACAACCGAAAAGACTTTCTTCGCAATGCGTTGGTGGGCAACCTTTAAAGTTCTTACCCATAGCCGCAGAAACACCGTCTTCACAACATCCGTATTTAGATTCCTTGCAGGTTTCGGGCATTGGGCAACCCTTATCGAAGGGTCCTTCAGCGATAGTAACTTTATCTGGGCAACAACCGTACGGAGTTTCTTTACAATCCTTACGCTTCCTCCTCCTGCATTTCTTAAGTTTAGGCGTAAACAACTCTTCTGTGATTTCAGTGGTTGTCCAGAGTGTAGAACCAATTTCAGTAGTCGATGACCAGATATCCTTTTCAGTTGATTCAGATGTTTCAGTTGATCCAGTAAATTCGACAGTAGACTCCGTCGATCCCGTAAATTCTGTAGTTGATTCCGTTGACCCAGTAAACACGGTCGTAGATTCTGTGGAGCCAGTAAATTCAGTTGTAGATTCAGATGATCCGGTAAATTCAGTAGCACTTTCCGTTGAACCAGTGAATTCAGTAGTCGACTCAGTTGATCCGGTGAATTCGGTTGTTGATTCAGTTGACCCAGTAAAGTCACTCGTAGTTTCAGTGACACCTTCGCTTGTATCTGTTTTCTTTGTAGTAACGGATGGCAGTTCAGCCTCGGGATTAACATCGGTATCGGTACCATCTGAGGTATCATCAGTTGCTGCCTCGCTAGTACCCGCCAGAGTTGTAGCATCCGATGAATCAGACGTGGTGGTCTCAGATACCTCTGGTGTAGTAGATTCTGTCGCTGAATCGGTTGTTGTATCCGATGAATCAGGCGTAGTTTCAGTTGTTTCGGTACTCTCAGTTGTTTCAGTGGTCTCGGTGGATTCTGTTGTTTCGGTATTATCGGTATCTCCTGATGAAACAGTTGTTGCACTAGAATCAGAAGTACCTTCTGACGACTCATCTGAAGTAGTTGTTGATGCATCTTCCTTAGAGACATCTGTTGCATCAGTTTCACCAGATACAGTGGTGATACCGGTTACATCAAAATCAGTTAAATCAACTTCCGCAGTATCATAATCTGTTGGAACAGAACTATCTGTTGCACCTGATGGTTTGGTAACATCATCATCACCAGATCCTTCCAAGGAAGAAGTAGTGTCTGATCCTGTAGAATCAGAGCCGGTACCTGTAACATCAGAGTCATCACCGGATCCTGTTTCCATGGAAACTGTACTTTGTGTTCCATCAGTTGCGTCGGATTCAGAGCCTGTAGAATCGCTTAACATTAGATCTTCCGTAGCAAGTGAAGATTCTGTCATTTCGGAAGCATCAGTAGCACCAGAAACAGTAGTGCCATCGCTAGCATCGCTAGAATCAGTAGCTTCACTACTTCCCATTGGAGTCGTACCCTCCTTGTCTTCATCTTCATCCTCATCATAATCTTCATCATCATCAATCCATTCGCCATCGTCACAATCATCTGTCTCCACAATTTCAAAGTCATCTTCTGTTGTTACTGATATTCCGGGCTCGGTTGTTCCTTCTGATCCTTCGGGTGTTTCCTTACTGCCACCTTCAGTCATACCAGTTCCTTCATCAGTAGCAGCACTCTCCTTAGTACTTTCACTTACATCAACTGGTTTAGTCACGTCAACCGGCAGAATTTCATCCTTATCGCATGCCTCGGTGTTGCATTGCTCAGAGCTTGATGGAATTTGATCTGGTCCACATTCAGTTGCCGCGACAGTCTCCTCCTCGCGCATACAGATTACTTTCCTTGTCTTTTCACCACCTCCGCATTTCTTTGAACATTTACTCCATGGACCACTGAACCATTCACCTGTGCAAGTTTCCTGTTCGCCTTCGCACTCCATGCTGTTATTATATTTAATATCAGGATTACATTTTTCATCACCGGCCTTAGTGAGATCTTCAATGGAAGCACAAAAGACCTTTCTAGTCATGACACCTTTGCCACATTTTGCTGAACATTCACTCCATTGCGACGCGTACCATTCATACTCGCAATCTTTAACTTCCGTGGTACATTCTTTCTCTGCTTCTGGTTTTTCGTCAGCTTTGCACAACTCCTCTGGATACACTTCACCCTTTGCAGTTGCGCACTGCACACGACGAGACTCTGAAGTCAGACCGCACTTGTCACAACCAGACCAATCTGAAGTCACCCAGTCAACACCTTCGCATGGACGTTGATTACAAATACGTTCGTTTTCCGGTTTTCCTTCAGCACACTCCGAATCATCAAGTTTTTCTTTCTTGCCTTTTACTTTTCTGAAACAAGTCACAACGCGCGTTTCCTTTCCGCCTCCGCAAAGATGATCACAAGGTTTCCATGCACCAGTATGCCATTCAGCACACACTTGTCCTTGATTGCAAGGTTGTTCAGTAGGTGGTTTCTGAATATTGTCGCACTGTTCATCATCGACTATACTAGCTACTCCACTGGCAATTACACGCTCACAAACAACTTGTCTAGTTTGATTTCCACCAACACCACAAGGTGCTGAGCATTTACCCCATGGTTTTGCAATCCAGTTGGCATCACAAGGCTGATCACCACAACGTTGACTATCAGAGGGACGATTGCTAGGGTCACACAGACTAGGATCAGCTGGTTCTAAGGTAACACGCCCAGCACAGGAAACATTACGATATTGCACTCCTCCACCACAACTCGAAGTACAAGGAGTAAATTGGTCATATGTCCAGACGTAGGTTTCATTCTGACCACTAGGGACAATATTACTGGGCACACTGTATTCAAACTCTACACCAACGTTGACATCCTGCATCAATAGTGAAATAATCAAAGGTTCATTCGTGGGTCCTACGCAAGTTAACATATCAGGAGCGGAAAATGTTTGCGGTGTTCTGGTATAATGGAATTTACATCCACCAAACTCCAAGGTTTTAGGGAAATCAATTCTCCAGTTTCCATTAAGATAATAATGCCCTGTCTGGTTACGAACAGCAAGGTAATTATTAGATGGAGCCCGTTCTCTGATATCAATATTGGTTGCACCAGCCGGTATCAAAATAATATCATTGTACCCAACTTGTAGATCTTGTAAGTCAATTGTGTTGGAAACCGTATTACATGATGATCCATCTCCATCACATACCCGGCATTTGTCTTCTCGTGCGTTAGACCCTAACATGTGATCGCAGCCTACAGGTTGACATTTACCCTCAACGCACACGTCGAGTTTCTCATTATTGCAGGGAGTACCGTCGACGACATGCAGTTTGTGACGATAATAGAAACGTTCACCACGTGGCATGCAGTTGAGCTCACAGGGGTTCGGTGCTTTTAGGTATGGAACCCACTGGTATGTGATGCCCTCGAAAGGGATACTATCGTACTCTGAACATTGCTGTTCTCGGTAGTCGCCATTGTCGGGACAATCCTGTGTACTGCAAGAGAAGAAACGCTTCGATGGTCCACGACATTCGTATCCCGGTTGACAGACACGGTATTGAGTAGCAACACCACCACCGCAGCTGCGGGTACAAGCGCTTGGAGAGGACCAGTCCTGCCAGGGACCACTGTCACCATAACCCTCCGCATCATTTGTCACGTAACTAGCAGGCAAATAGAGATTCTCGCCTTGTTGACGCTTAAATCTGTCTCTTCTATGTCGTACATGCTAAGATATAATCAAAAAAAAATTAAAATTACCTAAATCAATTTTTTAAATAAAAAAAAATTACTTACGTGGCTAAACGAGTCGATTATTGTAAATTGTGCTACGAGTACCACGAATATGAGAAGCGGCGACCTGCGAATAAAGAACAAAATCGATTATAGCCCATGATCACGTTTCAGATCATATTCAAATTTTTATCGGCGCGTTGATAAATGGAAATTAAACCGTCAAGTTGATAATTTACTTTGTGCGCGCGTAAAACATGCGATGCATGGAATCAAAGGTGGAGGAACGCAATAAACCACCAACCGCGCGACCGCACGAGTGATCACTCCGGAGCATTTTTGTTGTCTTGCAGGTCTCGAGCAGCAAAGAACATTTCTGTCTCCGCCAGTGCAAGTTGTACGTGTGTACCTACTCGTATATGCGAGTAAACTGGTTGTTTATATTTCACAATTTATTACATTTAAATTTGTATTCGGAATTGTACATTGAGCAAAAGTTAGAGGCGAACCGCGATTTTTTTGCGCATTGCAAATTATAATTATACTTTATTTAACAAGAATAAGATATTTAAAATAAATTAATTTACATTGCATTTGTGCAGATTATTATACTGTTAGCAACAATACAATAATATGTATATTTAGTGACTTATGCTATAATATAAATTATAACACTGCAGTTCTAAGAAAAAGATAATAAAACTCTCACATCGCATCTCGAATCATTTAATCTGTGCGTTATAACAAGAAAGTTATTTTAAGACTTTACTATATGATCTTATGTGTGTTATTGGAATAGAAACAAAGGAAGGAAGATTAATGGCAGGAAAACGCAGGAAGGTGCCTGGTAGGTAAACCCTTTAGTGTCCCACGTATCAGGACGGCATACATCCGCAAGGCAGGCGAGTTTTCTCCTCAATTTCGTTAGTCCTGAATCGATTTTCTCACAGGACCCAGGTTCAAGGATTCAAAACAAACGTTAAAGTAATTGTTTCAACACTATTAAACTAAATAAACTTTTTATATTAAACTTGAATAGAATACTTGCTAATTTATTCCAAATAATATAAATTGTTTGTATAATATTGGTTGTAAAAGTTGTTTTCGATTTAAATAATAAATATTCATTTTGTTTACTAATTTGTTTGTTTTAGTTTTTAAACTTTTTCTTCTTCTAAATTCTTTGAAGTTCTTCTAATTTGTAGTGATGTACGTTTGTAGTTGGTAATTTGGCACAAGAAATATTTCGCAGCTCGAGGTAAGTAACCTTGTGCGGGGTCGTATTTCGGGTTATTATTACATCCCGCGTATCGGGAGAACATGCGATGGTAGCAGGCGTGCGCAGCGCACACCGTCGAATATTGAGAGATCGAACATGAAGAAGTTGCGCGCGCGCGACGAAGAACGCCTGAACACGCCCGGACTCCGGATTCAACACCGTCTACACAACTACACCGTAGTCGAAAAGAGAAAGCCAAACGACGCAATGATATATACATTGCGGTAGGTTGAAATTCACGACCGCAGGGCAAGGACTCACAGACGTATCCTGAATCACCCGCAAGGATAACGAGGGGACGTCCCGACGATCGGGGACGTTGGTACAGTGCCCGCAAAGACCGGGTGCCGTACCAGTAGGTAAGATCCGGAGCGTCCCTCGTGCACGGCAAGCAGAAACATCAAGAGGGTAGTTGCAAAGCCGCCCCTAACAGTAACGCCACCCTCACATATTGCAAACTAGTGTATATGCACATTTAAAACATGCAGTTGTGTTGGAAAGTGGGGGTTGGTTGGTCATCCCTTTATTTTATCGATTTTGATTACTCTCTCTCTGGAGGGGTGGCGATAGCACGCGAGGGTGAAAGCGCGAAAGCAGTGCGACCTTCTCGACACGCTGTTCTCTTGATACGGACATCCTTTTTGTCCTTTCCATATTTGGCCTTTCTCCAAGGATAACTACCAACGCAGCGGGGAAGGACTCGAGGACCCTCCAGGACTAGCAGGAACTTTACGCGTTCAATAATACCGCAAACAAAACGTTCAAACATTGCAGGATCAGTGAGTAAAATGTACAAAATTATTTTTATTAATTTTATATAATTTTATTACGAATTAAGATGTGACTTAAAAATCTTAAAATTTCACTTTCGTTTTCGTTTGTTGGAATCGCACTTTCACTTTGTGCTCGTTTTGACTTGTATTTCGACAACCGAAAGAAAGTAGAAATAGAAAGAGACACAAACAACATGTCGAATATAAGAAAAGGACCTGTATATTCTGTGTTCCCCTAACTTTTGAATCCATACCCCCTTTTTTTCAACTCAACTCTTGAATCAATAACTTCTTCTCTTTCTTTCTGCTTGAAAAGTCGTTTCACACGTAGATTTCACGTTTATTCTTATACCTTTCAACGTTTCAAGGTAGAATCGCGTCCAAGTTCAGTGAATACAAGATGGCGGCCATATTTAGTTAATTACATAATGTGACCCACCGAATTCTTAATGTAGGCCATCGAATTACGCTCACCGATGTAATTACGCCACTAGTCGACGCGAAAAGTCATTAACACCTGTTAGAATTCGCTTTTAACGTTAGGTTACGCCGACCAGGCGCGCAGCAATGCGTGTAGGTAACATTTACCTGTTTCTTGTGCCACGCTTTCGACCGCTGAGTCTCTCCCTCCAAAAGTTTGCTGATAGAACAGGTAGAGGTAGCGTAGTGAAAGAGAGAAACTCCAGTCAATACTTTGCCACGGTACCGGTTTACCTGTGCCATGCTATAACGTGCGTCGGATAAAGATAGTGTGTGAGTGGAACAAGGCGAACATTTATGGTATTCGACGCTTTCGCCTTCTCGAGTTCATGCGCTCCTGGACGACGGAAAGCCGATTCCTCCAGGTGAATCGCCGGTGATATTTAAACGCGCCCGAAGCACGTGAGGTGGACGTAGGTGCGTGGTCGCGCCGTGCGATCAGGTGAGAGGCCCAGGTAAACACGCAGGTAAATGCATTTGAGACTTGAGTCGGTATCATTTCATTCACCGATTCACGCGGCTATCTAAACCAGACGAAGGACAACAAGGTGTGTAGAATTGCTCACAGATGGCGCGCGCGTTCTTTTTTATAACGCAGGTAAACGTAAACAAAAGTAGCAGTTATTTGATTTGTAGTGTTTAGTATGTAGTGATATTAATGTGTAGTAGGAATAATTTATCAGTGTCGTCAATTCCGGTAAAGATTGCATAATTTTCAGAACAAAAAGAGCGAAAACGGAAGGAGTGGGTTTACGATGAAACGAACGCCCATTTTATAACTGAATTTATTTGCGTTTGACGCGTTACGCAACGGGAAGAATAACATTTTATCATTGTAGTCGATAAACCAATGAATAACCCTTTTATTTATTAATTAAAACAAAAATTATTAGCATATACTTTCAATTTTTCTTCAATTTTGGTTAAAACTTTTCATAAATAAAATAAAATTTCATTTAACAATTGAATTCCCCTCTTTATTTATTTTGTTTTGTTAAGAGATAATTAGATCTATTAGTTTTTCCTAGCGAGAAAATCCTAAGCTCATTGGTCCTCTGCTTGCATCTTGCTTAAAGGCAAGAGGTAATCGACCATTAGTGACGACGTTATTACAATCATTATCGTCATTATATACGCGCAGCTTTTTACTACTGACCCGCGAGCTGTGATTACCGATGCGCTTCTAGCAAAACTATTTGAGCAGTCTATGCAGACAGCATTATGCAATTACGGACGCATTTACTAAACTAACTGCGCTCGAATCTTTTACGTTTGACGCTTTTAGGGCTAAAATAAAAGCTACACAAAGTGTTAATGACGATAATGAGAGATTTAAACTATTCATTTATAGGAAGCATAAATAAATGCGTAAATATTTAGGAAATTGTGATAAAGAAGTAAATAATATAAAGTTTTATACAAAAAAAAAACATTTATATTACTTTTCTAAATTCAAACTCTTGAAAAGTTCTAGGAATAAATTTAACTGTACCTAACTGGACAAGACAAGTTAGTGGAGTAATTATTCATAGGGCTATTATAACTAGACCTAGTTGTTGTTGGCGCATCGGGTGATAATAGACTTTCTTCAGCGTCGTCCTGCATCCTGCTGTTAATGGCCCAATGTGGGCGTTTCAAATATTTTACTTTTAATAGCTGCCACTGCTATTTATCTGTCTAAGCATAACCTCAATAACAAACGCTTTTTTCGTTTTTTTTTTATTAAACTAAAAATTCAGGTTTGTTATCTTTTCCAATTTGTAAACGATACTCGTCAAAGGGATTTCCAATTTACACAGCGTTTATATTTATAAGTCTCTAAACAAACTCGTAAAATGATTGCCGCACATTTCCGCTAACATTAAATTCGCACACTTTTGCACGCATTAAGAAAACCCCAAGACGAGTAATTGCATGAATCATGCACGCGTTGCGTTTGATGCTCTTTCACGACTAAACAAACGAAATCACAATTTATCTTTAGCTTTCAGGCTCAGTAGTAATAGTTTACTTAAGTTACCTTACATATTTGGGTTAATTTCTTGGTTATATTCGTGATAATTTTAAACTGTACGCCACTGGACGCGCTTAGTGCCATCTGTTCGATTGTTTATTAAAACTAAAAAGTTCCGCGTTGGGAAACACAAATATGATGCACCTAATATTTGCATGTGTTGCTTAATTAAAACTATTACGTGCTCGTATATAATTTTTATTGCCGACTGCGCTGATTAAATTCAGGTATTTAATGATGGATAATTATGGCGATCGTTTCATGCTACATACGGATTTTTATTGCAATTTTTACGATTTTTGCAATCAGTGACGCAGAAACCGATAATTTCCAGGAATAAAATCTATTTTTATTTAATTTTTAGAAGCTTAAAGTTTAAGACAATGTAAACAGTACAACCAGATCACCGATACGAACATGTTTATTATTATTAGGTTTTTACGTTGCTTTACTTACTTACTTACTGAGATTTGGGGTTTTGGTTTTCCGGCCTAGTTTAACATAATGTTTAGAAGTTCTGGAGAAAATAAAGTACTTGAATACTTTTCACAACTGATTTATTTCGATTAATTTACTTTAAG